TACCCCGCAATTCACTTTACATCTTTGTGCTAATCGACCCCACCTTTCTCGCCATCGTCCTCACGGACCCCTCATTCTCAGAGTCCCCACTGTTCCTTTCTTCCACCATGAAGTCACTAATCTTTTCCTCCTCGTACTTCAACGTTCCCGTCGCTCTCATCTTTCTGTTCTTTCTGTGCTCTCTCTGACCGTTGGTAAGATATTTGCTTGTCATCACCGTTCCCACTAGAGAGTATACATGGCTCCCCCAGATCTCATGGTCACCATATTCACTGTCCTCAGCCATTCATCTCTTAATGTGTTGTTAAGCAACGGACATGTGTTGTATGTGTATTTCTTGCAGTGAGCTGTTCATACTAACACCTGATGCGACGTATGTTGTAATAAAAATAGATTGCTAATGAAGTGACGCTTGCAGGAATCACGTGGATTTTCCAAATTGCATTTTTTTAGAGATTGAATTTTTATATTCTATATAATGTATTCAAATTCTATGTATTCTATTAATGTATTAATGAATAATAACCTCATATTTGATTATTTTCAACTTTGTAAAAAAACCTTAATTTTGAAACTACGACAGCATATCTTGTAGTCTACGTTTCCAAACGATTGCTCTTCCCAGCGCTCAATTATTGCAACACGTTGCTCCCATTGCAACACGTTTTCCAAAACAATGTTTCATAATTGTTACGACAGTCATAAAGAGCTTTACAAACCAGATGGAAAAGTTTGAGTGTGGCTCAGGCTTATTTTTCAAATATTTAAATTATTTTGTAGCAGTAGTGGTAGCGGTTAAATATCATTGTAGTAGAAGACATTATGTAGTATAATATAATTACAGTAGTGACAGTTACATTATTATATTAAATATTCAATTAAACATTCCTATCTACATTATCTACAGTTGGTATTGCTTCGCAAACTCTAATGCTCGATTTTGTAACTTATAACCCACTCTACCCGCTTTTCTCCAAGCCATCGGTGATGAAACATTGTGTGGATATTACCGTGATGGGTACTAAAAGGCTCAACTGGCACAGCAGAGGTGGCAGGGCTTCGCTGTGCATGTCCCCTCTATTTATTTAATATCAAAAGACGGTTATAATGTGTGATTGTGTGAGTGTGTGATGTAAGAAGAGCTATCTATTCACGGTTTCATGAGCTCTGGGATCATGACCCATCATGAACCAAACAGGTCAATAAAACAATACAATAAAAGTCAATCATTTATATAAATGTTGCTTGAAATTAATTGTACAGTTTTATTACACTTTCCACACAACTGTCTTAAGAAAAACAAAACTAAATACTTGCGACTCTCATGCGAGATTGAAGTAAACTCCTCATGTACCTTAACTTTTATATTCAGAAAATATTTATGAAAAATATGGGTGTTTTTTATTATTCTCATATTTCTGTTCAGCTCAATTCCGATAGGTCTGGTATTTGTATACAATATGAATAAACGTTCGAGGAGAGATATGTGTTGGACAATTTGTTCTAAGTGAAATTGTAAAATTGTTGGTTCGTAACTTCACATGGTGCATTTGGATATGCATCCTTTATGGGGTTTTTGATGCGTTATCCCTATAGGTTTAGCCCACAACACCAAGGGTCTCATTATAGTTTAATACAAGTTGAGTGCAGTACTGTACGGCAAATGAGTAATTCGGTATGTTAGTGGTTTCAGTTTATGTGATTTAGATTTTGCATGATTAAGATTATTTCAAGTTTAGGTATGTATCAATGTTTAATCCTAGATATATCACTGGTTTATTTCGATGGCGCCAGTGTATTTGTTGATTATTTAATGTCAACCCATTGCAGCTCAGCGTGCGACATAGCGTAAATGCCATACAATGTTCTGCCTTACTGTGTTCTTACGATGTAATCTAATCCGAGTAAGTTCAATTATAATGTTGAGCTATTAGAAGCGCTAAATCTGGTGGTAATGATTACTCGAGCAGATAAATGACAAAATTGGCTCTCCTTGAAACGATTTGACCACGAAGCAAGTTTGCAGAGAGATAAATATTTTGAAAATAAGATTGTTAACGAACAAATAGGGATTTGGATGAAATAGGCATGTTTAGATACTGTAAATATGATTTTTGAAATACCGGGAAGTCATGTAACCTGTTTATAATTAATTTCTAGAGTATACATCAAAGTAATAGCAAATGTGTTTGCCTAAATATCTGATTCTATTAATTACAACTATTACTACTGTGTTATAACCCTACCAGTAAAAAAAACATCATGGCGGCACTTACCTCGGCGGGGGGGGGGG